CGAGTATCCTACAGAAGTGCTGTGAGCTGTAGCACCTGTACTGTACGACATGCGTATTCTGAATAGCAAAACTTGGAAGCAAATTAAGAGAAGTTTTCTCGCGAATTCCAAGCGATCTTGTTATTGACATTGTTGTCGAAACGGTTGTTGTCTTGAAACTTCTCTGAAGTTTGCATTCTACTATATTTCAGTAAAAATCTGGTAGAGCATTTACGTATTGCCGAAATGACGTTGCGGAAATAGTAAGTTTCTTCATACGATTAAATTCATTAAATTTTTATCACTTAATTTCAGGAAAGCATTTTTCACGCTTTAATTGTATTTTAAACGTTAGAACAGTTTTATCCTTGGTAAATGTGCATGAAGAATCACTAATATCAATTCTGTTCTTATCAACTCATTAAAAATACCTTTGGTCAATACACACACACACACACACACACACACACACACACACACACGCGCGCGCGCGCATGATATTACTTATTGCTGCGCATTGTTCTCCATCCGATTTTATCGTATCATAATTAAAGGCATGTGTGCACGTGAAAGATACTACAGCTATATATCGTTATTACGTGAATCGACGAAACTTCGGCAATGTCATCGATGTCTTCGAATTTTTTTTTCAGGCTATCGCGTGCACGAAATTCGTGGACGCGTAAACAAGTTGCTCTGCGACTCTTTTCATTAACGAGACATTCAGACAACTTATTTTGCAGTTCACTCAATTGCTTTAATTTTCTCTCTTTTAGTGGCTGCAACTAACGCTAATGAGTGTGAAGCCTTAAACACACTCTCTAAATCTGAATCAATGAATAATCACTGATATCAGCGCCAAATATGCCATTGGTAATTGAATTAAATGTGAGATTCCTAATCTCCCTCTAGCTAATCTTTATTATGTGAAACTAACTTTGTTTTAATGCTTAAATTCAATGAATATGATATTGGGAAATTGAAATTAACGTGCAAATATCATATTTTAGTTATATAACGCTCAAATACTCTTCCTTTTTTAGTTGAATTTCACTGATTATCAGTGCCAAGTGTGCCACTGGGTAATTAGTGACTATCTACTGATTCAGATTTAGAGAACCGTGAAAAGCACAGGCAATAGGAACTAGAAATAGACTTCAATTTTTTATAAAAAAATGTGAATTCTAATATACACGCACAGTTGGAAAATTTGTATTAAATTTAACCCATTTTTGTAAGCAATTAAATAAAAAAAATGTTTTTTTATTTAATGGCGATTTTTCTGATAGATTGAAGTCTCTTATTCTCTGTTTTCTCTCTCTCTCTCTCTCTCTCTCTCTCTCTCTCTCCCTCCTTTCATTATTCTTTCATTGAAGATATGACATAAAACAGATATTACAATGTTTCAGTTATATGAGATTTGTACAAATCTCATGTGCTCGCTTACGTATTTGAAGTAAGATAACTTTATCAGAGTCGAGCTAAAAGATCGAAGGCAACGTCAATTTATTGCGTGCCGCGAGTAAATCGCTCCAAGGAGGAGTCGCGTGACAGTGATCGCCACTGCATTAGTGTTATGTAAGATCCGTGTTACACGGCTATTTAGTGGCTCGCACTTCCTTGGACGCGCGCCGCACGTACGGCAATGTAGGCCGGATGCGACGAACCGCGTTCTATCAGATGCATCGATGTATACACGACCCAGACCGTGGGCGAGTACGCCGTGGATAGCTTAGAATCGAACTATGGAAATTGACAAAGGCGGGCACATCCGTGATTAAATCCGACACTCGCGCGCGCGAACAATGCACCATTGTATTTCGTTTCCAGGTGTGTGGCTCTCGTTTCCTGGTAAATTAAAACTTGCCGTTTCATCGTCGCGATATCGCGACAATTAATATTTTTCAAAGATATCGACGAGATGCGACTTTCGTATCATTTGTTTTACCAATTCCGTTTTGTAATATCTAATCATAAAAATAATCTTTAAAAAAATAAAAAGGACTTACCATAAGTATATGCGTTTCTCGAAAAATAACTTGTTAAAATAACTATTATTAATATTTGCAAAAATAAAACGCAAATGATGATATCTTAAAAAAAAGGAGAGAGAGAGAGAGAGAGAGAGAGAGAAGAAAAAAAGGAAAAGAAAAGAAAAAAAAAGAAAAAGGTGGTACGCGTTTGCATATAGATTTTACGCGCGACGCGAATAAAATCGTTTTTATTCCAATAAGGAAATCCCTTGGATTAATAATGGGTGTAATTTCGTTAAATGCACGTGCTACTGTCTACAATTTAAATCACTTGCATCATCACCATAAAGACGAAACGAACGCTATGATTTTTCCTCGGCAATTCCTTGCATGCGCATCGCGCTTGGCCACGATCCATTTTATTTTCGATAATATATACACGCTATCAAAAAGAAAAGAACGCGCTTTACGAATATACGTTACAAAGCACTGGTAAAAATTGACGGGACTCTGCTAAATCTTGAACTCACCGGAATCGCTGAATAAAGATAGCTCTACAAATCGTTTGGCTCCAGTAAATTCTTTCTCTCAACGACTATAATCTTTGCGTAACATTATAAATGATTTTGAAAGGATTCGATCGTACTCCTCAAATTCTGTTTAATTACAAATAGAGTAACTTAAAAATAGAGTAACTTAAATAATAATAGAGTAAATTTACAGTTAAATGGAAAAAGCCATTTTTCATTTATCTTTAGAAAAGATGTGTACAATACAACATAAATAAAGTTGAAAACTTAGCATCATGATATTATCAATCTTTTCGGAGATGCAATATGTCATAATATGTGCGCAAAATAATTGCTAGTCTGCGAGTCTCTCTTCAGTATAACACGAATTTCTCTTCGTAGACATTTAAATTATGATTAAGCAAGTCCTCTGGGTAATCTTATTTTACGGAAACTTAATTATTACGATGTAGGCTTGTTTCAGACATCAAGAGGCACGTAGTGTCTCGAATTTATAGTATAATGCAAGATCATTTCGTAGTATAATGCAAGATTATTTATACATGAGCTAGCCAATTCTGAATACTCCAAACTATTTAGATGGAATAGAAAAATTCTGAAATGGGAATATAAAAAAATGTATCATTTTTATACTATTTATTCAATAATATTTTCAAATCTTCAATTTTTAATTTAAAACATCATTTATTGTTAAAAATGGAAAGATTAAAAATTTATTACTGTATTACAAATGATGTAAATAATATTGTAGGAAAAATTAACAGATTATCAAATATAAGAATGTGCCATCAATAATAATGTTTATACAAAATTTGGGCAATTTTAATTATTTTTCCATACTCATCTATGGATATCCAAGTATAGTTGCCTCTTTTAGCATGACCAAGATAGAATCCAAAGTCTCTTCTCCAGTCGGGATAATTTCCTTAGAGGGCAACAAAAAGCCGTATTCACCTTGATCACGTAATTCATAGGCAAACAGGATAGATGTACCACAAGTAAATTTGACCCAATCTAGAGAACTTCCGTAAGCTTCATCTAAAAATAATAAGAGCCACATCTAAGTATAATAGTAAGTTTAAAGAAGCATATTTTTTAATATAATTAAAATTTTTTTAAACTAGGAATGCAATAATTGTTGCAATTTTACAATGCTTTTATAATAGGAAGAAGGGATTCTTCACAACAAACCATTCAAACAAAATAAAAAGTATTTAGATATAGACAAGATAGAGAATTACAATAAATAAATACAAGATAGAAAATTAAACACAAGATAGATAGATGTAAATACATATATAATACAATAAGTAACGAAAAAGCTGTATTGGTCTGAATTGAATTTTAATAATTGGCTTATAATTAATTGGATTTTAATTGGCTTATATAATATTTTAGTGTGAATTTATATACATCCAGTTTCCACAACTGCGCCGAAATCAATTTTAAGTCTTTCGGAATCTTAACTGAAATAACGTATTGATGTAATAAATATCCTAAAAAGCTGTAAATAATTTATTACGAAAATATTATCTACACCAGGATCTGAATCTCTTTACTAGTGATAAATGTCTCAACCAATTTGATCGCTGAGACTATGGTGATATTTTGTCGCAATAACTAGCATATATAAAGATTTATTTCATTTGTTAAAGAATTAAACAAAAGAAGATTAAGTAAAGAGAGTAATTATAATTAATATACTCGACTCTTTAGACATCAATAATTGCAGAAGAACAGATCATACAGTTTATGCTTAAAAATGAAGAGAGAAAATTCATTTATTTAATGAAGGGAGAGAGAGAGAGAGAGAGAGAGAGAGAGAGAGAGAGGAGGAGGAAGAGGAAAAGGAAGAGCAGAGAGAAAACAAAATAAATAAAATTTTTTGTACATACATATTGTTTCGGCAATATCTCCGACAGTGTAGTTAGTTCCATATCTCTTAGCGAGAGCTATCTTCGCTTTTAAGCCAATATCATTCTGAAAAATTGTTGAAATTATGTAAATTTTTTATGTTCCATTATTCATATATGATGTTTCAAATTATTTCTTATAAATAATTATATTAAGCATTATGTAAGAAGACCATATGTTTCATCCCTTATGTAGTGGATGACCAATCAGAGTAAAAATTTGCTCCATTTATAAAGAATATTATAAAGCCGGTATTCGAAAGTTGGTATCAGAAATTAATTTCAAATTATTTTTAGCCATCATTATGGGTAATGAAATCTTGTATTTTTACAACGAAGATTAATGATAAATGTAGTGCAACATGAACTGCTTCAAATTTGTTTTATGTAGAATTGAATCAATTACTAAACTAAATTGCTATTAAGTTTGTAAAAAAAGTTAATATTGTTTTCTTAATATATACATAGGATGTCCCTTTATATCAAAATTGAACATACATTTATTCGACATTTTTGACTTTTTTTTATGTGAAATCGCTGTAGCAGTTTTGGCACTATGATATATATATTATGAAAAGACATCCTATATATAATAATGTTTGCATTGATAATTTAGATAACGATACACTGAAAAAAGAGTAGTTATAGCTAATTAATATTGAATGATGAAATAATTTTAATTAAATGTTGAAATAATATAACTAAACATAATTTTATCTCTACAAATATTTAGTAAGTATTAAAATATAAGTACTAAATGATATTACCAACGATAATACTTAAAATACTAAAAATATAAATATTTGTAAAGGTAAAGTTTAATTATATCGGAACATTAGTTGAAATTATTTCACTCAATATTTGGTGGCTAATAACTAGGAATTTTTTTCAATGTATGTCTCACTTATAAATACAGTAATAACAATTACAATGTTTTACCAATTCAATACTGTTTCTTTATACATAATTATTTTATTATATGTTTCTCAAAGCTCTATTTGTTTTATATAATTAATGGTTTACTCACCAAGTCGTTGTAATTGTCAACGTGTTCTACTGTGTAACTATAAGGGAACATTAATAGTTGCGAGTAACTATGGAATGAAAGGTATATATCAAATTGATCACAAATGGATTCGATATATTTGGATAGACTTTTTGTTTCAATATCGGAGAACGGCGCAGATCCAGGGTAGGTCTCAGTGCATGGGCCACTGTCATCGCTTGCATCTGAAGATATCAAAGTATAAATATAATAAATATTTAGAAATATCGAATTCTAATCTTAATATCATAAGCTTTCCAAAGTCCATAAAAATAATCTCGACTTTTTATTAGATACTATATATATTCAATTTTTTTTTATATAATATAAATTTACTTTTCCATGTGAAACCCCAGTTTCTGTTAGGATCAGTGCCATAACAATTACCGTATGGCTTACGTGTCTTCCTCCACATTCGATTCTGAAATAAATTTAAAATATTCATGTAATTAAACATTAATTTATAAATTATTGAATGTTTTATATTTTCATTAACGTTGTCATGTACTAACTTTGATCACTGTTTTGTCATGTCTTTTTTTGGTATGTCAAATTTGACAACTTATGTTAATTTATCCAAAGATAGAAAGTAAGAGTAAATGTTTTTTTTAAATAATCTTATAATTACTCTGAAAATATAACTAAAAATGTTAATTTTTCTTACTATTTTAATCTATTGAACAATAGTTACTTTTTGTAATTACTTTTAGTAATTACTTTTTGTCAATAAGAAGTCGTCACTATGTTTTTGGTCCGATGATTGGAAAAGCAGCGCTAGACATTAAAAATGCTTACCGTGGTGTGCGTATACACGTATCCATCAGGATTGCACACTGGGAAGATATACCAATCGTGACTTTCAGCTAGATTTCTAACGTCTGTATTGTTACTGGTTAGCAATTGATCCAAGATATACAAAACAGTCGCAGGCGCGATCCATTCTCTAGCGTGAATGCCACTTTCGAAAAAAACTCCAGGATTATTGTGTTTAAAAGAAATCTTGACGCCTTTAATTTCACGACCCTCATATGATTTACCGGCCACGACAGTTTGTACTATGTCGGGATGTTTCTTTTCCAAATCATCTAGATAATTGTAAATTGTATCGAGAGTATGATATTTTGTGAAATCAAATGTTTCTGATGCTTTTGCGATTGCCGTTTGATTGATTAATGCCTGAACATTCTCAATAGAAACTTTATAAGGTGCTTGGATCTGTGCCATCAATTCGTAGAATTCGGACAATTTCTGCGGGGCTACCATAAGTTGCGCTTGTTTATTCACAGACGGTTCTTTCCAGAAGGAAAACTGTAAATGATGTTTACTTTTATTTATTTAAAATATACTTAATATTAATTTAAAAAATTAGTTACATATCAAGTTTTATATTTTTTAAATGTTGTAATTAAATAATATTATAAAGGACTTTTAAATGACTACAGTATGGCTGCGGTCAAATTGACTGAAATTGTGATATTTTATTATATGTTCTCTTTACATCAATTTTTCTTTATCACTGATTCTTTATCATCATTGATTCATATCTTATTATTCTGTGCATATAAAAATATCTACTAAGATAATTATTAAAAAATGAATAGTAGATAAAGATATTTTTCAGTTTGATTAGACTCAAAATAGCAACTTGTCTGTATGAAGGGGGGGAGGGGATTATGATTATATACTGATTATATAAATTTTAGAAATTTGCATACATTATGCTGTTTTTATGAAGTTAATTTTTTTTTATCTTATAGCTGATATAACCAATACAAATTTTTTTCGGATTTTAGTTAATATTATCATTACAAATGTTTTAAAAAAGGTAGCTTTTGTATATTAACAAAGTATATTAATTTGCGTTTATCTTCATGCTTGAATCTACTCACATGATCAGGATCTTTTACCATCTGATTAAGCAATTCAACTTGCTTGTTTGTAGTTACATTAATTTTGATGACCTTGTAATCGTCAAAAGTAGTCTGTTCAGCGATCACCAGGCCCATGATCGTACATAATATTATTTTCCACATGATGATTATAGATTTCTTTAATTTTAATGAATATATTAATTATATTAATTATATTAATTATACATCGTTAATATTTTCATTGATTTTGATCTTGACAATGTTATCAAGGTTTATGATCCTGAGTGACTTCAAGAGGTTTTAGAACCATTATTATTTAAAAAGTTACTAACAAAATAAGTTTCATAAATATAGAATATAATTTTTGAATACAAGATATACATTTATAATAGTAAATCTACATGAAGGGGGAACCTTGCGTTGTAAACTGATAAATGTGGATTCAGTATAAATATCACCTCCTATCGCGAAAGAAGGATTCACAATATATTAAGTAATTTTATATGTTTTCAAAATCAATATATCTATGTAATTATATAGTTTAAAGAATATACAATAATAAAGTCAAACATATATCATTGATAAGAATTAAATAGAAATTATTAAGTTAGCATGGCATTTTATTATATAAAAAGAAATTACAGATAAAAAAACGAAACATATTATACAATATTCATTTTATAACAGTTTAAAACGAAAGGCTAAGTCACACAGAAAAAATGTTATGGTTAGGTTACCACAATTGGAAATAATGATAATTTTCATCCATCAATATATTTGATTGTGATAACCGTAAGATACCAATCTTACAGTTGTCACAGTTACACAATCGTATATATATATATATATAGTTCTTATATCCAAAAAATGTATTGATGGGCGACTTTTAGTCGTGGTAACTGTAGCTATTTTTCCGTGTAGGAGAGACTGGGGATAGTTGTAACAATTTTTAGAAATATACATATATTTCTTTATTTATGACATATATGTTTATTTCTTTTAATGCACATGACGCAACAATTATTTAGCTTTATGGTACTATTTGCAAAAGGGTATAATTTTAAACTGTTTTCGAGTAAAATATCAAAATCCGAATTAGTACATTTTGTTTTGGGGCAAAACGAAACAGAGCTAAGAAAAGACATGTTCTAAAAATAAATTATCTACTTTAAAACAGAAATTTACTGCTTTAAAAACAAATTATCTGTTCTAAAATATAAATTCATTGCTCTAAAAACAACAATTCAGCTTTAAATATAAGTTATCTGTTCTAAAACAGAAATTATCTTCTTATATTATTTTTATTTATATTATTTTTTAAATCAGTAAATTGATTATTAAAAAGCAGTTTGTGTTTTTAAAATAAATGTTTTTAAAATAAACAATAAATTTGTGTTTCATAACAGATAATTTATTTTTAAAGCAGAGAATTTGTAAAGCAGTGAATAATATCTATTATAATAAGAAATATTAAGACCGACATGAAATTAAATACTAAGTATAAGCATATTCAAACCTTTTTCTGGGCTTTATCAAATGCAATTAGGTCTAGTTGTCCACCACCAATGTCACTTTGATTAAGTGAGACTTAAAACTTTATCTCATTTTAACTCTGTCTCGTTTTGAAGTCAAAAAGAGACAGATACAGAAAGAGTTTTAAGCCTTACTTAAAATCAAAATAATGTTGCAATCAGTCCAACTACTGCAATAATATCACAAATTAAATTAAATTGACAAGCAAATTCTCAATCTTCGATCCAATATCATATTATAAGGAATAAATTAATGTGCTGAAACCTTAAATAAATTTATTGCGAAAAATATTACCTCATAACAGTCAAAGCTAAATCTTCTCAATGCCTAAATAATTCACAGTAAATTATCTATATCCTATAGGTATATACACAAAATTTCGGCGCGCAGTGTGAATAACTACAAAATATGGTATATATGCAAGTAAATATATAGGATATAGATAATTCACTGTGAATTATTTAGATATTGAGAAGATTTAGTTTTGACTGTTATAGGCTTAAATATGCTTATACTTAGTATTTAATAAGAAATACAACACATTCGTATTTTCTGAATAGTCAATTTAAAATATTTTAGTTCACGAAAGAACACTTTTTTCTTGTCAAATTTTTATTTTTATGCGAAAACGCATCGATTTGGTGTATTTTTATCAAAATTTGAAGTGAGCGGGTTCTTCTTAACATTTACCATTAATTATAATAAAATGTGTTAAAATGTAATTGTAGTTCGCGATGTGGTACTTTTAATGCTAAATCGATGTTGTAAAAATTTATATAAATATATTTGAAACCACTTTAAAAAGTAAAAAAGACATGCACATAGCTTGAGAAAACATATTTTAGAATTAATAAAATGAAAACATAATAAAAAGTATTTGAAAGTTTAAAACAAAAAAATATAACGTTGTAAATTTACACTTACATGGCTTATCTGAGCACCCTATATTATATATATATAAAACTTCTTTTATATGCGGCGCACGCGTGATTGATGTCATGAGGCAAACGCAGACTTCAATATATAGGTACTGACTATTTTTGTACTTCATATGATCTTATCTCTTATCATTTAAAGATTTACACATTGTTACACATTGTTATAACTGTCCCTAGTCTCCTTTACGATAAAAAGTCATATAACTTGACATTATGAGGAAAACAGGCTTCAATATAGAGGTATTAACTATTTTTATTTTTCAAATGATCATTTTATCTCTTATCATTTAAAAGATACACGTATTATTGCAATTCATCTTCTCTTTTATCATTTAAAAGATATACGCATAATCTCCGTTATAACTATTCCCTACGATAGAAAGTCATTTATACATATATTTGCTTCTCCAGAATCATAAAAAATCATAATTTATTTTTATTATATTTACAATAATAATAATTTATTATTATTGTATTATGTAATATTATA